TATTTAAGGAAACTGTGACAGACCTCTCAAACTCGATCTAAGTTACACTCGTACACATATCTTTTATGAGAATGAATTGCTCCATAAAAATTCTAAATGACCTTGATGCCACGAAGGCAGTACAGGCTGTTCGCTCTGCTGTGGAGGATATACCAAAAATATTTGCGTAAAAAATAGTGATTTAACAATTATTTCTCAAAAATAGAAGTGTTTACAGTAATATTGAAGATCTACACCTGACCCTCACACACTTAAATTTTGATCCAGATATTATTGTATTAACAGAATGTTGGCTTACTCACAACAAAATAATTAAAAAAAAGGGCTCATGTAGAGCCTTGTAGTACCTCCCGTGGAGCTCCTTCTCCTTCCATACGGTCTCCCGGTCGGAAATGCTTTGTACTGCTGGGTCCTGCCATTGCTCGTTGGCTAAGGATAGAGGGGTAAGCCCTTTATCACTAGAAATGACGTCATTATAGAATGGATCATCCGATCTCGCCAGAAAGTAATGACGGAGGCTGCACACTTCGCGATTATGCATGGTGAGCGCGCTCAGGAAGCCACGTCCACCATGCATTCGCGGCAAGTACAGCCTCATTACCAACGATCTCGGATGATGCATCCTATGGGACGTCATGGTAGTGCGGACTTTTCTATCCAGGGCGTTAAGTTCAGTCTGAGTCCACCTGAGTATGCCAAAGGATATATATACATGAGACAGGCATGACCCAACCGTTATATGCGTGTGTCTTATTCACACCGGACAAAAGGCTGTTAAGCAATTTGGTTAAGCGTGCATAAAACACGTCGCAAACTGACTGTTTCATCATACCAGCCTCATCGATACCGATGTTCTGTGAGATACCTAGGTCCTTAAGTTGACGGGCATACATTAGTCTACGCCCTTAGAGTTAGTAACCCTTCCCCTTTCAACATGGAGGACCGCACACTTATTCATCCCCAGCTCCATTCCAATAGAATTGCTAAATTCACGAGTAATGTTTAGCAATTCCGTAAGATGGGAGCGACTGGAGGCGAATAACTTGAGGTTATCCATATGGAAAAGGTGGGTCACTTTTGTCCCTCCCTTCCGTAGCTGAAATCCCCTCCTGGAACCTCCAGTAAGGTACTAAGAGGGTTCAGAGAGAGGCAGAACCAGATTGGACTCAGACAATCGCCCTTGGAAGATACCCCTTCTTATCCTTATCACGTTCTCCGGAGCCATCATCCGCTCGCCCAGATGACAAAGGATCTTACTCCACTGCCCCATACACTGCTCGAGGAAGTCTCTTACTGTACAGTTAATCTTGTACAGCTCGAGGACCCTCTTTAGCCATGTATTACAGGGGCACCGAGTCGAATGACTTTCTGTAGTCTATCCAGGCGGCGGAGATGTTCCGACGGTTGCGTTTCACCACTTTGCCAATGACTTATTATTATATAGTGCATTGGGGTAAGATCGGTGATGGGGTAAGACCGTAAAATTCAAATTTCCGGTGAAATATGCTATATTTTTGAAAGTTAGCAATATGGTACAAGACTCCATTTTATTCTGCCCCGACCCCAAGTTTCAGCCAGTCGCTCCGAAAAGTAGGGCGTGTGCTGCGCAGTATTTTATAAAACAAGGTAATTTTTCCGGTCCGGTCTTTCCCTATCACTTTTATTTGCGATTTTTAACGACGTCCGGTCTTCCCCTTGATGGCCAATTCTTCATCATGCATATAAAAAATTTTGCCTTGTCTTCGCACACGTTTTAAGCAGAAACTGTTGAGTTTTGAAGAGTAAAAGCTTCTTATAGCTAAATTACTGTAACCATTAACGATTTGCGCCATGTTTCAGAAATCTGACGTATATGGATGTCGAGAAAATAAAGTTTTTGCCAGACTCTTTTAACTAGTCGAAAATCCGTCCGGTATTGCCCCAACGCACCTTAATTATAAATCCAGATACTAGTTATATATAGTTATAGATACTTCAATTTTATTTATTTGTATAGATAAGTATGGAACTTTATTTTGTATTTGCCTAAAAATAGTAATGGTCGTGACTGAAAAAAAAACTGCGTGGCATGTTTACCGTGCCAGCTACTGCTGGCGCCCGCGCGATCTGCAGGTTGACAAGGATTTTATTCTGAATTGTTGGTCTAATAGTCCTTGCTTACAAATTAGAGGAGGTTTGTGCCCAGCACAACAATGTAGCGGTACTAGGCAGTAACTGAACTTTATTATTATATTGAAATTTGAATTGTCCCATTACGGAATCATTATGTAAAACAACCTTCGCGTGGAAAGTCAATAAAAGACATTTGAGGTACATATTTCCCTTTTAATTAAATCAATAATTGTAAAAATGTACAACTTCAAAATCGTTCACATAACTGTTCTTATTAAATGTACAAATTTGCAAAATGTGTAAAAGTCTAAAAACCAAGTTGACGTGGTGTCATACTAGACTATATACAACCATTTTACCTGTCTTTAAAGATATTTTTCAATATTTGTCCATATATTTTATATGCGTGAATTGACTGAACTTACTGAACGTTATGTAGGTAAGTAATGACTCCTTTTTCACAAACCCCCATCTTTTACTTTCGCCCTTTAGTATTTTACATTTGATTAAAACTTATCATAATTTGTAATCTACAAATCTTATAATTAATTACATATAAATTCTTGAGTAACCAAGGGCCAATTTTTTAATTATATAATAAAAGGTATTTATTGCATAAAATACAAACAATTTAAAATTTATTGTTGTATAAATAAAAGGATTCTATTGTTTCACTGTTATATTCAGACAGGTATAATTTATTTGATGAATAAAGCCAAATACTTGAAATTTCTAAAAAGATTGTCTATTGGGGGCGTAAGGATCGTTTAAGGTTTTTTTTTATTTGGTGGATGACCCTTCTTCATATATTTGTGTGTGATAATCTCTACTCAAATTATTTACATTTTCTGGACTAAGTTTGGTTATAAAAATGTATTTGATTTAAAAATTACTTACTAATTGTGCTTACACTCCAAAAAGGCAGGAAATGTTCCAAAAACAAATTGCTATGTAATTCTATTTCCTTAATTAATTAAACTACCAAACAATCAGTCTTTAACCGAAAATATAATAAATGTGAGCTATTTACAAAAAAAATGTTTAAGACAATCAACAAATAAATTACAAAAATGCTGTACACCGTGAAAAACTTTTACACCAAAAAGAAATTTCAAAAACTTCCTATACCTATATCTACCTATATGGGTCAAAATTGTGCCTTTGTGATTGTACTTTTATTATAACAATGATCATTTTTTTATATTAATACTGGTAATAATGACCGCACGTTTACACGAGCCTTAAATACGAACTTCATTTTTAACTTACGAATGTTACATTATCTAACCTTAAAATTCTTGGTGACAGTTATAACATGCACTCTTGCCACGGTGCGGCATTAGTTACGTTTAATTTTTTTTATTTTCTTATATATTTTTCTGAATTAATGTTAGGTACATTTTTTAAATTATTATCTAAATATCGTCCTTTCTGATCGGCTCGATATCTGATCGCTGCGAAGGGGTGTTGTATCCCTCTGTATTTTGTATCGCATCTACCACGGGGAGTACTCTGAAGAATTGTTCGGATTAATTCCGAAAGGCGGCAAAACTTACGTTACCATCCACATCATCTGGGTGATTGGCAGTCCACCACTGTACCACACCACCGTGTTTTACTAGGAGTTATCCTTTTCGCACAAACTCTTTGTGGATTCGTTTACCATCGGCTATTTTCTCGGATCGATACGACTTAGGGACCTTCAAGAAAAGAGCTTACTCAATCACTTATCATCAGGTGAGCCGCATGCTGGTTTTTCTCCTCTTCTATGAAAAAATCTATAAATCATGAATGTACCGTCTTATACGCAATAAATATTACGATACAGAGATATTTATACATGACAATTTACTTTTTATGATTAGAACTGACGACAAGGCTGCATTCCAGTTTTGGAATAAGGCAGATAGGTCTGTAATAAAAATTGGATGTTCGAATGTTTTGTTATATATATAGCTTATACCAGGATGTTTTATTATATAACAAGAGATTTAAGAGTTTTGGCGGGAACTTGACCACGGCGGATTACTGCTCTAGTTTTATTGTAGAAATAATGGTTTAAAGTGGATTTTGATATGCAAAAGTGGTACACGATGAAACAAGTGCTTCGATGGTGATTTGTGATCCCCCAGGTAATGTGTCTGCCTAGGCGCCTTGAGATACTGTGGTCATCGACTGTTTGTTGGCTCAAGTTGCCGTCAAATTCTCCCAAAAATCATCAATTAATATAGTGAAGAAGTTTTTGACCAAATTATAAATATAAAGGATAATTATTTATTACTTGATACTGGCAGAAGTACAATAGTACGAGTCCTTTACAAAATAGAAAAAAGTAAAGAAAACATGTGTACAGTTTACTCGCAGTAGAAGTGAAATCTTCAGAAAACAAAATTCGAGAGAATAAGACGAATACAGAGTATCAAGAGTAGGTTATTTGTAGGGCTTATTTAAAATTATATTATACTATTATAAATAATAGGTAACATAACACTATGTAGGTACCGTATTTATCTCATTCTCTCGCAGGCTAAATCCTATAGATGTATATGTTTGTCTCTTTTTAGTGTAACTTATCGTTTCGACGAGTTTCAAATTACAACGGTTCTAAAAAAAGTCACTTCTGAAAAAAAAGTAGTTATCACATTTATCCACGAAAGACCAGCCAAGAGTCTCACTCAATCGGTTGGTGGTTGTCTAAGAGCGGCGAATCCACCTACAAATGATTGGCACACTCGAAGGCGGTATTACAGTATCCATTCTTGTGCGGCCGGGATGTTACATTTTATTACAAGATATAGTCGTTAGATATAATTTTATAACAAGAAAAATCACATTCATTTCATTTAAAAAAGTCTTGTCAAGTCTCAATTAGTTGGTGGTGAATCCACCTACAAATGATCAGTACACTCCAAGGCAGCGTTGCAGTATCCGTTCTCGTGGGGCTGCAGCCCGTTGGTTTGGCCAGCGCTGATGGTGGGCGGCTTGTCGCCGGCGCCCAGCTCCAGGGCGGGCGCGACGCCGTTGCCGTTCTTACCACCGGGCGGACGGTAGCACCACCACGCCAGGAAGAAGAACACCACCGAACATAACTTACCCACTAGGGCCAGCGCTAACATGTACCTGAATCAAATACTTATAATCAGTATAATATATTTTAAAGAAATATAAAAAATACTTAAGTAAAAGTTGTCATTTCCTGGAAGAGTAAGAAAGAAACCCAACAGTTTTTAAGTATAATAGTTAACAGTAGGCAGGTAGGGGACAAATAGTAGTAGACAGGGGGCTTAACGGTTCCGCGGCGCAGTGAATTAGGAATGAGTTGCAGTGTTTAGGGCCGCTGCGCTGTCTCGAATCCCGCAAGGAACAAGTATCTGTATGGCCTACAAATGATTGTTCCCGGGCTGGATGTTTGTCATTGTGCAACTTATGTATGTAAACTGCCTCCACTTTACAAGTGAAAATCCTAATGCGTGGGTTTTTAAAATTAAAAAAAAAATCCTAGTTCGGCGACGTGGACACCCATACTTGTACATATTTTTATAGTAGTATGGGTGACATACAAGCAAACAGGTCCACCTAATTTGTCGGTGGTATCCACCATTTGGCTCATAGATACTTAAATCTATCCCGCAGTTGCGTTACCACCCATGAACACTGAACGAATGTTTAGATACCTAGTTACTAGTAAAAAAATCATACGGTCATCAACGCCGTCTTACGCCATACCGGGACCCTTGGGCACATAAGAATTAGAATTAGGCCCTGTTGGAAAGTAAAAAAAAGTGAATGACAAAAACATTTTTCTGCTATGATCTTATATTTACTATTGTTAATTGGTAAAAATCAAATAATATATCGGGCATCCACTTTTTCTGCCACCAGGGCGGCGGCGGCTTTACAATGAGCTAAAATATTTGACAGATTTCATAGCGGGGACGATAATTTCTTAGGAAAATTTAAACTTTAATATTTTTTTCCTAAACTTTCTTTCAACAAAGTAATATATTATACATCAATACGTGTATTATTTTTATTTCTAAAAGTTAGGCTTCACTTGTCTAAAAATAAGGATCGTAACAATTATTTGCTATAAAATCTAATATTTGTGGTTGAAAATTATCATATTAAATAAATCATTTGCTATTAATTCTTTTGAAGTGTTATTTTTATTAAACTTTTACTAAACTATTTATTTGTTTGTGGAAAAAGGGTGATAAACGAGCACACAGTCCACCCTTGATTAAGAATCATTGTCACCATTGAAAACTAAGATGGAATGCCTCGTTTCCAGTAAAAAGGGTCTCCGATTCTCTACACTCACCAAACAAAACACAGCAGTATTATCCTGCCTCCTCTATGGTGTTTTGTGAAAGCCCAGTCCTTCAGTTTGAGCCGACCCACTCCCGCTACAGCCGTAAAATAACTAGAGCCTGGCTTTCCATGTAGCACACTTTATAATATTATGTAATTAACGTCTTAAGAATGTTTGTGTATTACCTGCTCATATTCAAGTTATCGTAAAGCAAACAGGCGCCTGTGCTGCCACAAGTCTTCTCCCACAGGGAACACGATAGATCGATAAGGAAGCCGAAGAGTAGCGGCGCAGGAATCGTACCCAAGAGTCGAACTTTGATCCACTGAATACCCAGCGCGAACGATCGCTGATCTTCTCTTACACACCTGTGGATAATGTTGTAATATTATAGTACGAACTAAAACCTTCCTTTTTCCCATAGAAAAACACAAAAAAATTCATTATTAAAAATGTCATTACGATTGATTGAAATAAAAATATTTCAATCAACATTGAAATAACAAATTTTTTTTAGTTATATTAGGTATAACCACAGAGTTTCCTCCTTGCCAAGCGTCCAGTACAACCGGCATCTTTGTAGGAGGTAGGAATTCCTGTAGGAATTTCCCACGAAAAAATAAGATTGAGAAAGAAAGACTTGTAAATCGAGAATGGAAGTAAATTAAGACGGAATGCCGTCTTAATTTTCTTCCATTCTCGATGTTTTTAATGTAAGAGTATAAAGATGCAATGCAAATAGCAACTCTTATATTCATTTACCTTAGTGTCGCTGAGAGCGCTGGCATCGTCGCCAAGAAAGTGAACAGCATCACACAGAAAGCGAGGAACACGAACGACCATAGATACGGGCAGTCGGAGCTGCAAACGCTGTTTATGGCGTCATACGGCATAGATGAGTTGGAATCTGGACATAAAGAACTCTTATACATAAATAACTGAGGTTTTACACAAAAAATTATGTTAAGTGAGATAAGTTTTTATGTGGTAGAGTCATGCTATAGTTATTACACACTTATTTTATAAAAAAAAGTTATAAATTCTTTCCAAAATTTACTTTTAAGAGGAGTATTACAAAAAATGCGAAATTAAAAGGTTTCCTCGTTGAAATTAAGTATATGTTTTCCATTTGTTGCTTAAAATACCAATTACTTGGTAAAAATAGTTCGTTTTCTCTACTACAATAAGCTCAAGGCAAATTTTAGATAACTTATTTATTTATTTATTTAGTAATAATCATTCTCCCGATGCATGTTTAGGCCAAAACTCAGAGAGACATGATTTGGGAGCTCTAATTTGTAGATTCTATTGCATATCGACCATCAAAAAATATTTTTATCTCACAAATATCCTAGACTTTAATATTGATAAAATACAATTTTGTTACATTTCACATAAGGAAAAAAATCGACATAATTCAATTAACAACCAAAAAAGCTTCGATAGAAGCCCCAACATCTCCAAAGTTCTACATCATTTTGACGTAAAATTTATACCAAAATAAACATCAACATTTGCTTAAACTATACCATGACTTTACTTTTAAATCATTACTATTATTTTTTAATTAAATAAAAGTACCATATATTTCACTGCGCTGGCCATCTGTGTTCATTACAGCGTGAGCGCTTGTCGAGGTTAGATCTGCGTTTGACCAGTGCCACCGAACTTGTGGCACTTACTAGTGAGCCATAGTAAATAGGATGCCAACCGTCATGCTGCACGCAGGCGCAGTCGCGGTACAGCTGCGCGGAGTCGTTGCGCGTGGCGGCGCGGCAACCGGCGTGGCACGGCGAGTAGTACACGCGCGCGTCGCGCCCGCACACCGGCGCGTAGCGCGCGCGCTCGCAGCCGCAGCCCGCGTTGCACTGCGCCGCCAGCGCGCCGCCCCTGCCAGCCCGCCAGCGTCATCAACAGTTCGCAACACTATTGCAAACCACATCACAATAGGGCAGGGCAAAGTGCATTGTGCTGCCCCAGTGACAGTACACTGCCTTTGCGGTACAATGCAATACAATACTCATTATTGTACTCGAAGGAAAGATAAATACTGTGGAGTCTCGATAACTCGAACCTTATTAAGTCCTATTTTTCAGTAAGCCATAAGAATTTTGCTGCTATAATATAAAAAGTCATAACAACTATTAAGTCCAGACCTAAACATAGACCTTTTAAAAAAAAACTGAAGCGACCTACGCCCTTACCTACAGTTCACCTGTCCTGATGGCAAATGGCTACTGTAGTACATGGACACCTCCAACCAGCTTCAAATAAAAAAGTCTAAAGATGCGTTGTCATCCCTGAGGACTAAGATGGAATGCCTCACACCCTGTGTATAGAGTCAGTATACGAGTAATTTTATACTGACTATACTCTTTAAACCGAAAATCAGCACGTAGTACTAGACAGCCATTCGACGGCAGAAATATGTAAGAGAGATAAATATTAAATATAGATGGATTCCTAGGCATAAAGGAATTCCTACCACCTGATGTAACATTCCAAAATTATCGTACACAGTGTTACTGCAATTATTTATTCAAGTTTTCATTAACAAACACCAGAAAATTGATATGAATTAATAAATTTTCCCACATTTTGACGCTGATTCAACAAAACGATTCGAACTGGGAACGTCATGCAGCAATTTTCGGCCAACAAAAACCGAGGTCACATCTTTCAAAATGGTTGAAAAAGTTTTCCCTGCTTCACAGCGCGAAATTAAATTTTATCTAGTTTATGTAAAGTTGTCTTCCCAATTTCCTTTTTTTATCAACAATAGCTCAATGAATAATGATATCATTGTTTTGAAATTCGGTATTTAGGTATTCTATATTATCATCATCGCCTCCCCCAAGGAATGCCACAAAACATGGCCTAACCTACCGGTATCCATTAACTTCGCTTACCGGTATAAGGCTGCCACTCAAATACCTTTCTATCCCTATCGGTTATCGGTTCTTCGAAGTACATGGTCGGCTCATTGCCACTTCAGCTTACTAATCCGTTAGACTATGTTGGTCACACTGGCCTACCTCTACTGCGGATACCCTCATTTCTAAGTTTATCACGCAGAGAAACATAGCCCCCTCCATAGCTTGCTGAGTGACTTTGAGCTTCCTCATACGGCTAGCAGTGAAGGACCACGTTTCAGATCCATAGGTCATCATTGGCAACAAGCACTGATTGCAAAATCTAGTTTTGAGGTTTTGATTTATGCCTGACCAGAAGATGTTTCGTAATCTTCCGAATGCTGCCCAGCCGACTTGAATCCGTCGACTGACCTCTCGTTCGAAGTTTGACTTACCTAGTCTTGATAAGTGTAGTCAGACTATTTGTCCCAGGTACTGTAAACATACTCGTCAACAAATTCAAGTTAAGTGCTCCCAACAACTACCGGCATAGGTATGACATGAACATTACACATGACTTTTGTTTGGCCATGTTCATCTTAAGACTTATCATTTGGAAGACACTATTGAGGTCATTGAGCATAGTGCTTAGGACCTCCAGCGATTCTACTATAAGGATTATATCATCGGCAAATCGAAAGTGAGTGATGTACTCACCATTGACGTTAATACCGTATCCTTTCCAGTCCAGTAGCTTGAAAACATCTTCCAATGCAGCGGTGAAGAGTTTCGGGGATACTCTGATTCTGTACTCGGATAGTCCGTTCAGCGGTGCCCAGTTGACTGTCGATATACCGACAGTCAACTGGGCACCGCTGAACGGACTGTAGCACTACACAGATTTCATCCACATACGCAAGACAAAGTGGCAGATAGTAAGTACTCTTCGGACTTCTGTACAAGTTGCCAAGGTTTATGTGGTCTATGGTGCTAAAGCCTCTTCGGAAACCGGCTTCTTCGGCGGGAGGCTGAAAGTCGCCGAGTCTGCGTGCGAGACGATTCGTAATGACGTAGACGCGTCTCAGAAGGGAAATCTATCTGTAGTTCTTCAAAAGAGCGTTGTCGTCTTTCTTGCACGAAGAAAAGAGAAAAAGACTACCGCACTTCTGCTCCACGTCTCCGGAGTAGTGCCACCGTGTAGGACGGAATTAAAGAACTTCTGAAGGACTTTAAGTATCGTTTTTCCACCCGCTTTCAGAAGCTACGCTGTAATTTCATACTCGCCTGGGGATTTGCCCTTTTTAAGGTGCTGGAGAGCCATTCTAATCTCGCTCAGACTGACGACCGGGATATGGTTGGAATAGTGTCGGATAAGACTTGCTCTTGGGTCGTTACTCACACTTGCGTGTAGCTCTAACGATGACGTGTACAGCTACCCATAGAACTTCTTAATCTCATACGAAATCTCAGGTATCCCGGAAACAGTACTGCCACATTCGGTCTTCAGCTTCGACAGTTGGCTTTTCCTGACAGACAGATCTCAAGCAAAGACTTTGGAGCCCTGGTTCCGCTCAACTGCTTTTCAGTACGAGCTGTATGGAAGTATCGTAAGTCCTGCCGCATGCATTTGGAGATTTATCTCTTTAGTTTCCTGCATGCTGTTAAATCTGCTAAAGGCTCCAGCTTTATCACCAGCCAGCCATGAGATGAGGAGTATGATCGGAGAGTTTTTGTGTTATTTTGCGACGAGTCTCACAGAACTTGCTCGGATCGCATGGACAGTTTTCACAAGCTTGTCATTAATATCTTCCAATTTATTGCAGTCTTCTAGGCACTGAAAACTATTTTGTAACTCGAGATGAATGTTTTCGGGACTTTGGATTAGACCACAAGGGGGACGGAGCGTTGTTTTCATTAGACGTGACCTCTCCAACTTCACATTTAGGTTCTGTGTGCCACTCATAATTCGGTGGTCGCTGCCAGTATTAACCCTCGCGATCACTAAGATATCAATGAACAGTTGTCGTCTTGTCTGATCGTCATGAAGTCAATCTCATTTTTTGTCAAACCGTCAGGGCTCGACCAGCTCCACTTTCTGTAGGGCGGCTATTGAAGAAAGAGTTCATTATAAAGATTCCCTCTTTCTCCATAAAGTCGGCCAGCTGCTAGCCCCTTGGGTTTCGTTGCTCTATTCGTTGCTCTATTCCGAATTTTAGAGATATTCTCATACATTTTCTCCTCCTCCGCATCGCGATGTACCATGGTTGGTGCGTAACCTTATATGACCTTTATCGAATACCGTTTGGTATTTCCGAGTATGAGGTACACAACGCTCCTCGACACACTCCCAATCTTTAAAACGTTGTTAAGAAGAGACATAAATCCGAAACCTCCTTGGGATAGTATTTGAAGATTTCCGTGTCCTTCTCCTGTTTTCGGAACTCAGATAATCTAATCGTATAATATCCCAGCGCAACTTGTCTATCTCTTCTTCCAACTCCAGGATCTTCTCGTCGGTCCTCAGTGTGCGTGCGTTGTATGTTGCCAGGTCGAGTCGTTTTAGGTGGCAGCCGAACCCCCACAGGAGATTCTTAGCGCTCGCTGCTCTGTCGTTACCATGGTCGCCACCGTAGCCAGGAATAGCGAGGCCGCTGGGGACTGGGGGTCATCTCTTCGTCACGCTCATCATGGGGGGATGTTGCCACTCTAGGTGAGCTGTTTGGCAACTGCAGTTTTTAATTGTACAATTGCTGTTATCAGGAAGATGCTGATGCCCATATCCTGCCTGTTTCCCTTTCGCCTCTTACGACACCCACGGTATTATATGCGGTAGTGGGTATTCTTACACGCCACTACACGGGGGGAAGGTATATTTATAAATGAGCACTTGTATGTGTGTATGTATGTCTATTTCTTTGACACGCTCTTTTTAAATAAATTTGAAATTTGTAAATTTGTAAATGCTAAATTTGATAGAACTTAAACATATGAGGTGTCGTTAGGGTCGGGTTTGTTTAATTACTGGTTTTACCTTTAGACTTGTTTACGTTCTGTACTTTGCAGGTACAAAAAAGAAACCTAACTTCACATTAATTTCTTCATTTCGTGAATTTATTTACCTCCTTTTGTACCTACTGCTTTTCTAAAGTTTACGTGTGTCACATGAAACTAAAGGGAAACCAATAAGTGAACCGAAATCTATAAAATAAACTCTATCGCACTGTGACCATTGATTGGACACAATCAGTTTGCTCGTTGACTCTCTCAACCAGAATTGTGGCACATTCAGATCCGTCGACGCGTGTCCAGCCGATTGTAATGGCTCCATTGTTAGCCAATGAATCCGTCGTATCAATGCACATGCCAATGATACGTACAAATATTGCTAGAGAATTAAGACTGACAAAAATAGACGCTTGAAAAATTAAACCCTTAAACTCTTAGAGTGTTCATAAGCAAGCTACTTATATAATACTCTAAGATTAAATCTCTTAAAAAATAGCAGATAATTATGCTAAAGATGCAAAAAAATAATTCGCTAAGATTCACGATATAAAATAAATTGATGTTTATTATCTATTTTTAGTTTTAGTTATGCGGTGGTTGACCGCTAAGACAGCCTTAGTGGTCAGCCACCGCGGTCTACTTCACCTGAGGATGCTTCGTGTAGGGGCGAGAAACGTGTCGTATTATCGACGGCTGTGTGTCTTTCCTAGTGTGGTGGTGTTGGGAAAATTGGTGCTGGGATTACTAGTGACGGGGATAGTACTTCCGGTTTATAAAAAGTACTCTATAGAACACACAATTTAGGGAGAGCGGGGGGTGCTCTTCAAACTGGGTAAGACACATCATTTTATTTTATTATGCGGATCTTAACTATATAATTAATTTTTAACATCTTTAATATAATGGATTCTCGCAAGGTAACGACTGATATTATTAATTAGATAAATATGCAATGAATTAAAATAATTTTTAACTTGCCTTTATTTTAAACTATGAATAAAGGTTTTTTTTATAACAATAACCTTCTAGACTTATCAATCACTAAGTTTGTTGAATCCCTTCTTGTTAAACTGACCTTGACTTTTGGAATTAGGAAGTAAACAAAGAAAAAAAACTAGATCTTTAAGGAAATAATCAAGATTGTTGGATTGTTTACGTAAATATGCAATAAAAAGATTATAAATACAGTATTATATTGGCAACAAATTGCGATGCGATAGCGATAGTTTTAACCGCTATATCAGCATGCTGGGTTTATATTGGAGGCTCCGAAGATATTTTTATAAATCTTAACGATTATTTCAATATATGTGTTAGAGACATGCTGCAGTTATATTATAGTTAAACACGTATGGGTCGGCCGAAAGTAGGAACCCGCTTTCATTGAATACAAGCGTCAAACAGCAGCTCAATGCAGCTGAGTATTGAAAAAGAAAGACCGTTTTTTCTGGAAATGAGGCAGTTCTTAGGTGTTTCAATGCAGCTTTTTGATTCTTTATCGACGATAGATGTAGTTGTCTATGGATCACAGCATTCTTACCATGACGAGGTGGGCTGTGCGCTCGTTTGTCCTTATTCTATAAAAAAAGTGTTTGAATGTTGACAATGTTAGTAAAAAGTAAATATTCTTAATAAAAATTACTAGGAAAAGTAGAAGATATCACAAATCAAACTCACCCTGTCACGCTGGGACTGTTGTAATTTACAGTGACCCCGGCAAAGGGATAGTCATCGCAGGAGAGCACGAAGGAAAACGTGAATACTGCAGCTATCAATGTCACCGCAACGCAGAGCTTGATGATACCGGCACAAGCTAATTTCCAGCGCTTTACCAACCAACCTCCAATGAACGTTCCGCCACCGCCCGCTGGGACTGTGATTACACCTGCAAGTAATGAGAACAGCTTGACCATTTGTTATAATCCACGAGATTACACAGATCACGGTATAGAGCAATCAAAAACAAGCTACATACAGTCTTATGGAACCTCATGAAGCTTATTGTTTCAAGAAAATCAAGAGTGTATTTAAAATATGTCAAGCTTGGATACATTTTCAGTATTAGTAATCAATTCAAATTCTTGTATTTACACGAATACTACAAATGAAATGTAACTAATATTACGGGGTTTATCGCGTTTAATTTGAACTTTTTTTTAATTTCCCCAATAACATATGCAATATAATAATACCACAGTACAGTATAATAATAACCCACATAATATTCAAAAACTAAAAGTAGTACTTTGATGGTGGCTGTACTCTCGACGAGGGCCCACGAGGCAAGGCGAGGACGAGAGTGCACAGAATACTTTCGCTGAGCCTTGCCTCGCCTCGCCTCGTGCTCTCGCGCTCGTGTCGGTTTTTGGTGCGCATCTGGACGTTTATTGTGCTGAGGTGTTTCAGCACAATTATGGCCGCAGGTTAATAAAATTGCTAAGTTACGTGAGGTTATGCGTTAACTTAGGCTTTGCCGCTATAAAACCAAAACTAGGAGTGTAGAACAGATACAAAAACACAAAGTCGTATAATAACTAATGATAAAAAAAAACAACTGAATATATTAACGAAAAAAAAACTCAAAAAAAAGCTTTGTCAATTGTCAAATGGAACAGCATCGCACTTTTGTCCCTTTATTATTTGATTGACCGATGAAGAGCTATCGTATCACAAAGCCATCTATTTAAACAAGGCTGTAGTTTTTGAGTTATAAGAAAGTGACCATATTAACCGGATGACCATATGGGGTAATACCCTTACGTACTTTATTCAAAAATAAACATAATGCAATCCTTCAAAACTCATAGCTTATTCGCAAGCTCGAGTAAATATTTTTTCCTGACTCATTACGGTCATATAGGTGGTTGTTGTTTGTTTGATAATTAACTAGGTATATATAGTGTTCAATAAATGTTTCTTAAAAAATTTAAAATAATACCTAATAACAAAGCAGCTTCCGATGCACTGACAGCGAACTGATTCTCGATTAGTTTCGGTAGAAATGCGGCAAACCCAGAAATTAGCATCCCTTCGCTTGCACCCGCCAGGTTCAGGAACACAAAAGTGGGGTTCCTCATCAGCGCTACAGTAGCTTGAGGAAGCTCGTGTAAAGCGCTGAATGCAGCTGACTTTGAGGCTGCTCCTTCATGTGCCTCGGATACTTTCGATGCTCTGATTTCAGCAGCACCTGAAAGTATTACATAATAGTTCGATATTCATTGTAATAGCCCAAAGGATCAGTAAACTGAAGTGACAGTGGGCCGGCTACACAGTTGGACGAACCGAACACCGATGAGGAAGAAAGGACTCTAGAAGAGTTGCAGCCTCGAACCGAGGCAGAATGTAAAATGGCCAGTTGTTAGATAGAGTGCCAACCTAGTAAGACACAGGAAGTCGATGGATGCAAGTGGTAAGGAGACAGGTACACATGTTCAGCGTTATAATGATGATAAAATATACGACAATCGTTACGATAGAGCGATTTCCACAAACTAACAAAAATATTAGCTGGCAGGATTCCGTTTCCGTCTCTACAAACACGTGTTCTTTTAGCCGAGGCGTCAAATTTTAATAAACTAGAAAACTACAAAAAGTATACACTTTTAAAATATAAAACAGTAAAATATTAAAATATCACCTGGCAACTCGTAGGGAAAAGCGAGCAACGGGATCGCCACGATGAGGCACAAAATAGCGGACAGTATGAAGCCGACCCACCAGGCACCAATCCACACGGAACTCTGCGGTGTTATTCCAATCCTGTAGAGAAAATGTTTTGTGCATATTGTTACGAGAATAAAAAAATATTAACTCTCCTTTATTATCAATAAGGGTATCCAAAACTTTTTCTGCCACCAGGGCGGCGACACTTAAAGAATTAGGTGAAATATTTGACAAATTTCATTGCGAGAGGGTTAATTTATTAGAAAAGTGTAGAGATTAATGTTTCTTTTTGAAAGTTATTCCTATTTAATAAAAGATTTGATCTGTTGTGAGACTGAGGCATAGTTTTTAGCATTTACACCCAGTCCACCTGATAGTAAGTGGATTTGGCACATAGACATCCACATTTATCCTCAATAAGGTATCAAAATGCAAATGCATTGTCACCCCTGAGGACTAAGACGGAATGCCTTGATTCCAGTAAAAAGGGTCTCGGGTTCTCTACACTCACCATACGAAACACAGAAGCATTACGCTGCTATTTTACACTGGTCATAGTCATAGTCAAAGTCATTTATTCCATAGAACAATATTACATTGTATTGGAAAATTAATTACACAAAATGAAGAATGACGTTTACATGCAATTGACTTAAATAAAACTAAAATCGAATAAAATTTAAATATCATTTGACAATCATTCTACATTTAATACTTTTCACGTCATAATATTTAACATTCAATGTTGGTGTAATTGAAGTTTTTAAATCTTTTCGACGTGTCATTTTTCTCTCTTTCCTTTTTTCGTTTGTTTCATATTTGTTATTTTTTTAATAAATATGTAAGTGAAATTAAATACACAGAGAGGGAACCGTAAGTTTGCCAAGTTTTCGAAAATATTCCTTACACGACTCAATTTGTGGAATACGCAACATGGTGCGGATCGCTCTTTTTTGTAATACAAACGCTGTCTTATTTATAACTGTTGCCCCAGAATTGTATGCTATAACGAAGTAGGGATTCTACTAGAGCAAAATAAACCAACTTAAGCTGTTAAGGCAACTTAAGCTGTAGTATTCTGTAAGAACGTGGTCCTGCCCCAGTCGAGCCAAACCAATCGTGCTACAACTATAATATAGCTGCAGCGTGGCTCTACCAAGTAAAAGTTTAATGTTTCTTTCTGAAATATTAGTTATATTTTTTATTATTAACATTAAAAATGGATAAACCAAACTACGGGTATTGCTATTTAATAAAAGAGTTGAGCTGTTGTGGGGTTGAGGCATTGTTTTGTGTATTTACATACTTTGGAAACCTAAACAAAATGACATTGTGTAACGCATAACTTCACTCAGACCTCAGCCCGTCGAAAGAAAATAAAATGTATGAAATTAAAAATCAAATAAATTGAACGCAATAAAATCCGTAATAGTAGTTTTAATCAACGTGTAGTGTTCGCGTAAATATAAGAAATCAATAAATAAAATGTATGTTATAATTTATATTTGAATAATATTAAACGAATAAATTAAGTGAGAATAAATTGTTTACATTATTTTTAACAACTGTATCATTTTGTGTAAGGTATATGATGGTAATATGGTCACCATAAGTTTTGCCGCCCTATAAAACAAAATCTAGGAGGAGGACAGAGAGAAAAACTGTCATATACTATAACTAATATACTGAGAAAAAAATAGCAAACAAGCTTTGGCAATAATTAGGAATATTGATAAATCAATTTAAAAAAACTAACTACACTACACTATACTAAAATCGACTAATATATTTACTATATCTTAAACTGTCAAAATGGTGTCGTTAAAGCAGCAAAACGTTTTTGACTTTTTATTATTTGATTGTGTGATGAAGAGCTATCGTATCACAGAACTATATATGCAAAGAAAGCTGTAGTTTTTGAGTATTTTTTTATTTATTTAACTGGCTTTACGGCTCTGGGTTCTAGCCCTTCTGAGCCTATCATTTCTTTCAGAATCTTCATTTTATGTATCTTGTTTTCACAATATACTGATGCGTCACATAGCGAAGTTTTTGGGAGTTTTGACGACAGCTCAACCCAGCGGACAGTTGATGACGACAGCCACTCAAGTTCATGAGGCGCCCAAGCGATCAAATTAACTTGAAGTTGATATCAACATCAAAGCACTTGTTTCGTCGTTTTCTCTAATAGTTCACACGCGCAGACAATTAATTCACAAAATCGCATCACTTTTACAAATTAAAATCCACTTCAAACCATTATTCAAGCGATAAAACAGGAGCGACAATCCGTCGACGGCCAAGTTCCCGTCAAAACTCGTTTTTGAGTAATAAGAAGGTAACCGGATGACCACAATATTACCCTCACGTACGTCTAAAATACGTGAAACTGTCTCAATACTTCCATCCATTACAGCTTACCAAGCCCATGCAAATGGGCCTCTCCTATAAACTGTTTCATAGAGGGTTTAGCAGTAGTTGCCACACTTGTCAGGTGGGTTGGTAAACGCAATTTTTTATTATATTGAGTTGTTATGCGAAGGATGTTGCTGCCCATCTCATGTTTCAGTTTCCCTCTGCCGCCTCTTACGACACCCATAGAACGATATTGTAGTTGATACTCCTATTCTGCCACTTCATGGTTATAAAATATTGTATTTACAATATTTTATAACCATGAAAATGAAATACATCGCTGAGCGCAGCTTTCTATGATCGATGAGAGAGGCTTAAAAGTAAAATAACGGGACCGTATGAGGATAATATCGTCATGTGGATACGTAAAAAATCGTCTAATCTAAGTGAAACGCCAGAAAGACGTAAAATCCGACAGATGGCGGAATAACATAAGAACATCCAGATATAAAACCAACAATTTGTGTTTTTTCTCAATTGTTCATTCTGATTGCTATTAGAATCCGGGACTATGTAGTCTGGTATTACAACTAGTAAACGACGAAATACGATAAACACGAAATAACTTCTGAGATGAGAGTAAACATTGAAATTTAATTCAGAAGTAATCGGATCGCATAATTGCAAACAATATTTTGCAAAGGGCAATACAAAACAATACTAAAGACGGTGTGCAGCGTTAGGAAACCATTGTAATATTGCCTCGGAATATATTAAAATCGTTTTCGTATGATAATTGGAGGGTTTGTACAGCAATCGAAACTCGCGAACACTTCCAAGTTATATTAGGAGTTCATCGAATGTTATTTGGAGAGTCCTTAGCCAAACAAATTGGGTAACTGTGGACTCTCGTAATGAAATAGAATAACAGATCCAATGAAAATTTGCGAAGCGATCTTATGAAGTGAATAATATAATTAAATTTGTTATGCCCACTTTGCATTTAACGAACTGAATTATTTTATATTAAGCGTACAATACTGTTTGTTGATTAATAGTATAATAACAATTTTATAAAAATAGTGATTGTGTGCAAGCTCCTTTAAAAACAGGAAAAGTATGAGCGCGTCTCTCTAAAGGCAAAGAAAAATATGCACTACGCGAACTAAAGGTTCGATCACCGAAAAATTATAAATTACGCGCATTGTACAATAAAGTTTAAAAGTTAAGTTATCTATATACGTTCTACTGTGTATTGGACTGTTTCAAATGTAGAAATATTCTAACAATCTATAGGGAAGTCCTATAGATAGACATAGAAGATGGAATAGATAACATAGAAAGACTTTAAAATAGACTAGACTACAATAGATAACATAGAGAGGCTGTAACGGTAACGGCAGCGTACTTGTTAATGGTAGGGAAAAGTATAAAAATTCATTTTGTTGTTTTATTTATTTTTATGTTAAAACAAAGACTAGGAATCAGAGGCAGCGTTTTCAGCTCTAGGTTGCAGCAGCTCAAGCTACGGCGGCACTTCGCAATTAAAGCCTTGGATATACTTGGGGACAAAAGGAGCGGCATGTTGCGCAACTTGTCGCTCAACAACTACGTGGAATGTCCCGACACATATGTCGCGGAATATTTTGCAGGCCACACTCAGTGTTTATAGACATGACGCCCGAGGAGGTTGTGGCAATTAGTGCTGCGTAAATAGTACTTACGAGTACTTCGGGAGTGTAACGTAAGCGTAAGAGAAGGTGGTGGATACGGAATTTCTTACTACAACGAGAAGAAAGAAGAATTAATATTTTAAGTGATCTCCGATTGTCTAATGGATCTTTTGTGAATTTTACTCGAATGTCAACATTTGATTTTGAAACTTTATTACAAATGATCGGACCATCCGTAGCCAAACAGGGTACTATATGCAATTTTGTAGGAGTGAGCAAACCATGACTGGGTTCTGCCTTCTATAGGTACCACAGATGATGGAATAAAAAGTTCTATTTCCTGTAGCACCATATCAGCGACAGAATCAGCAACAGCGCTTGGATCATACGGCGAGAAGCAAACCCTCAAGGGTAGGGTGCTAAAATGATCGCATCCCGTCCCAATCGGCTGACCTATAATGCCAAAAACGGCGGCAGCCTTCAGAACGCAATCGCGATCGCGAAAGGCGATGGAATCGTGAGTGGCACCGTACTCCAGATCAGACAATGGTCCGAGGAGCTAAGTGGGGCGCCGATGGGTACCTGATATCTGTCCGGATGGGAGGTCAGCAGAAGGTCCAACAGATAATACCACGGAACGCTGTTGATATGAGGGCATATCGGACTTGCCATTGCATTAACAAAATGGCACGAATTTGACGCGGGACACGTGCGCTCGCTCTCAGAGCGGGAACATGCAACACGTCCCACGTCACGTAAAATGTTGCGGGCTATGTTGTGGGTTCCTGTGCAACGTTGCATCGTCACGTAGATTGAGTGTTCCGCGTCATGTTGCGGGACAAAATGTCCTATAGTGTATCCTTGGCTTAACAATTACATTTATGCCGGCCATATTTAGACGGCCATTTTTTATACGGAATTTTAATTGTAGCCGCTCAAAAGATTTATTTGACTACTTTTGAGTAGAATATTTTTTATTCCATATAGTCTATAAGCAATTCTTATTGAAATCCATTTTTTTACTCTTACCATCGATTCGGGAAAAAACATACCTATGTCCTGGAAAGA